GACTCGTGAGGTGCGGAGTATTTAAAAGAAATTTCTTACTTTATATTTCGCCAGGTCTACTGGATTTTTTTTTTAATGAAAAATAAGATGCAATATTTTGAAATCATTTTACATTTTCTCGTCACCATAAAAATTTAATTTTATCTTGAAATAAAGTTATGTTGTAATATCTACTCTATGTTGTTGCGATTATACTGTAGTTAACTTATTGAAAATTTTACTAACGTGTTTCAATGGCTGATGAGCAGAAAATTTTTACAGTAGAAATATGTGTAAAACAAATGTAGTTTTGTTAAAATAATAATTTTTTAGTCCTAAAAAAATTTTGCACAGTAGGTTACTGTGTGAATTTAAACTCAAACGTCAATAATCTAAAAAAATATTTTATTCTATTTTTTTATACACACATTTTGTTATTAAACATACAAAAACTCAATAGTAGTTTCCATCTTAAGTTTGGTTGTAAAAAAAAGCATTCACTTGATCAATTACAGAACATCACATAACGAATACTTCTAAACATTATGAAGACGGACATATGATGTGGTTATCAATATATTTTTTATTTTAATGTGAACTTATGTTCTAAGAACGTTATAAAGACACATACATGAATGTCGCATACTAGTAGCTCTTTTTTTTCAAACGTCGTAGTTGTATAGTTTCATTTATTATGTTCATTTATACAAATTATATACAAAATTAAAATAATAAACTTTCTTACATAGTTTCGATTGTTTAGTCTTTTCTGATAATTGAACATTATTCACTAGTTGACGAAACATAAAAAGTTTTTTTTTTCATGTATTCGTCGCAATGCGTAACTCAAACACCTATTTTTAGTCATTATAATATACGAAAAAAAAAAACAAAAAATCATATTCACAGAACGAAAACCTGTCCAACAAAATATTAAAGAATCTTCCTATCAAAGATTAATAAGTAATTTGGTGTGTTCTTACTTAATTTACCTATCGCCATACTACATTGTAGATGCAAAAAAATTTTTCAAAGCAACATTAGTTTTCTACTTATGCACAATTAATATCCGTATAAGCGTTCTATTGACTGACTTTATGTATACCAAAAAAAAAAAAGTAAATCGGCAAATGAGACGTATATAAATGTTAGTACAAAAAATTATTAATGAAAATTTTAATTTCGAGCTTAAAAACGTGGCAAAATCAAAACACAAGTGTCAATGGAGTTTGAATAATTTCCATTGAAAATCACAGTCCATGATTACAACTTTACACCTTAACCGGTACCTCAAAGTATTCTTGGCATGAAAAATGTTTATCGAACTATGCCGTGTCCGTTGATTTCCCACGAAAATGAACCACCCTGTGATTTTACTCGCGTGAAACACAAATGTCCAATGTACAAAAGGTGCCAACGTGGATTATCCAAATCGTGTTTACAATTTTTTACGCACGATTGTCAAAATGGCACTGAATAAATGCCCGATGGAACAAATAAAAAAATGTAATCGTACAAAACAAAGAGCACCCCAACGTATCATTAACCAGTTTTACAGCTGCATATTTCATATACGTAATAATATGTGGTAGACGACGCGTGTAAAAACCCTCTGGAATATCAAAACAAAAGCAAGCAAGACGGAGAGAGAGGGAGAGCAGAGGTGACGGGCACAATCCAGCAATGCTCGGCTTTTAGACGAGAAACGAACGAAAGGAAATCAGGCATCAAGGAGAAAAAAAGGCACTCCTTGACATGTTTGTGTATATCTGCACAGCGTTGTTATCATCGTCGGTGTCGAAAAATCCACGGTGTAGGTATTTGGGAGAGAAGTTAACAGCACGAGCTCTTGGCGGGCTCGGCCTCGACGAGATTGAAGTCGAGGCCACCGGGTCTGGCGAAGCCCGTCTTGATGCCGTCCCAGCCGTCCTCGACCTTGTACTCGCCGTTCTGTATTCTGTTGTACACTTCCTGGGTGACGGTGCGGAAGGCCTCCTCGACGTTGAGGCCCGTCTTGGCGCTCGTCTCGATGTGGTGGACCCCGTACTGGTCGGCGAAGGCTCGCGCCTCCTCGCGGGACACCTCCCGCCTACCGCCGTTCGTCACCAGGTCGATCTTGCAACCAACGAGGCAAAAGACCGGCCGGTGGGGCTCGATGTGCCGGCGCGCCTCCATCATCCACCGGGGGATGTGCTCGAAGCTCGCTCGGTTGCACACGTCGTACACCAGGAGCGCCCCCACGCTGTTGCGGTAGTACGATTTTGTGATGGACCTGTTGCGGGACAATGGACAAATCGGCGTGGCTATCTTTAATCCTTTTTTATCATCATTACTATATATTGTAGTTTGATTGAATCTTAAACTCACGATGGTGTCTCGTTTTGTTAAAAAAAAAATAAAAAAAAAGAACAAATTTCAGCAAATAGTATGAATCTAACCGAATCTTTCTTCCGAGCTTTTAAGAAAATCGGGCTTATACGGAGTAACCAAATCGACGTAATATACCACCGCTCCGATTGACATCATCTCGTAACGTTTTTGTAGCATCAAGGTTTTTTTTGGATTTTCGAGATACAACTACAAAGGTGCAGGTAATTTTTATATTTTAAGCAACGCCATGTACGCGTCTCAGGTCGCAATCAGCGCTATTTTCAGGCAACTTTACGGTGAAATCGGTCGAGCAAGTCATGGTTTGTTCAAAAAAATCTGCTAAAACAAATAAATGTAAGTATACACATATAGGGTTTACCTAAATCTTTCCTGTCCAGCCGTGTCCCACAGCTGCAGCTTGATTCTCGTGCCGTCTTTGACTTCGATGAGCCGAGCAAAAAAATCGACTCCGACCGTTGGGTCCGACAGCTGAAACAGATCCAATGGCGCGCACGGTCAATGCAAAAGTTCCGCAGGGACTCGTTTAGATAATAAGCGGATAAATTTTCTCTCTCTCTCTCTCTCGGGATTCTATTTTAAAGCCATATGTACAGGTATATACGTGTACCTACTTGTGCAGATCGTAATTGCGCGTCTAATTTTTCTCGCGCGTTATGATGTACACCTACTTACTTACGTAAATCATGCGCCGCAATGTCAATGCATTATGACGAGTTATGCAATCCTCGAGCGCTTACAGTGTTTTAAACAGAGGCTTTTCGTTTTATTAGTGGATTTTGAGGTATTTTTTAATTGCCGATTTGTACGAGATCGAGATGAAAATGTGATTTTGTAACTTGGTTGCTGTTATCGGAGCTTTTTTGGAATATACCGATTCAGTCTTGTTTCAATGGAATTTTTTTTCTTTAATCATATATAAATAGAGCAGTGAAATAACGTAGTTATTTAAATACACGAAGAAAAATAGTATTTCGAGGAAGTATGAATAACGTTTTGATAAACGAACCGATGACTCGTGAGGTGCGGAACTTTGGAATCGTTTAACGTAAGATATGTTGAGTATTTTTGTACAATAACGTCAGAAAAACAAAAATGAAATATTTCTAGTGTCAACTATTGATGACGAAATCAGTAATACAGAGGAATTGTATGAGAACGCGTCATTATCCGTGTACAGGGAAGCGTAAGATGGTCAATTTTTTTCATACATCAAGAATAAAAAAATACAAAAAAAAAACAATTGAAAAAGTCGTGAAAAAAGTTCTTGCATAAACCGATTTCACGTACTCATTACGAGGTACAACGATATTCTTGTAAAATAAAATGGTAACGTGTTCCAAGATCATTCATAAAAACATAACTGCAGCTGTTTTTACGATCGCGAAAGCTTATCAGTTGTGATACGTATAATATACATGACGGTGTATTTGTTAACGATCGCGTAGCCGATAAACTTTCTCATGTACCGGCATGTGCACACGCCCAACGCTTATCTCCACGCTCTACCAACGCGAAATGATGCTAGCCGATCGAAATCTTGATGGATTGAAAACTCCGTGCATCAGTGTGTGATGGGTAGATACACGACGAAGAAGAATATTATACTTGGAGGGAAAAGAGAAAATAAGTAATTATCCGACGTGAACAAAAGGGGTACCCACATTATATATTTAGGTATACTCATCACTTGAAAAGCAAAGAAGCCGCGAGCTGAGAATCGCGTCTCGGCTGAACGACCACAAAAGAGCGCGGAATAGAAAGAAAAGAGTGCCGTATATAGTTACATACTTCATATTTATACTTACGGAGAGATACATCAAGAGGCAACGAAAGTCTCGCGCGCTCATTTACGCGTATACGTATTACACACTTGTGTATGCATTGAATGGTGTATATATTATATTATATGTGCCCTTACTGTGTTACGAGCTCGTTCACTCTCTCGCGAAGAGATCGGTTCTCTATTTTTGCTCTCATCTCTTGCGCTGGGATAATGTGGCTTTTCTCTCTCTCTCTCCAATGATATATCATAAGCGTATATGCATGTCTTATTTGCGCGCTTCCGTTATTGTTGCTCTCTCAAAAAAACAAAAACAAATAAATAACAAGAGTCGCTTCGAGAGTACCAACTCTGTTTTGGGTATTTTGCCCCGTTTCATTGCGAATTTCGTTGAATCACCTTTTTTTTTTTTTAATAGTGAGAGAGAAGGCCCGTCCCGCAAATTTTAGATTTGGAACTTTACGTTGAAATTCGCGTTTATTTCAGTCGTTCGGGTGAAACGTATCATCATTTTGATTCATTAAACTTTGCCCTGCTTCTCTCCTGTTTATTATTTATAGAATCCAAGAATAAAATCCAAACTTTCGCGAATCCGTGGAGGAAAAATATATATACTTACATGACTCTTTGTGTGAATGGCAGGTGCCTGAATTGTGCTTAATAAGGAATACAGAGCTTATAATATAATGGTTTAACGATGATTATATTATTACATTTGTGGGTGATAGCAACAAATATGTATTTAACTGCAAAACAATATTAATTTCTACTCTAACATGATCCAACATTACGATTTTCACTTTTATAAATTTTTATTCCTTATTGGTTCTATTTCAGGTGTGTATGTGATGTAAAGTGAAAACGAAACCCAATATATTTGCACACATAACTCCTGAACATAATACTTATTACTCTTGTTGACTCATTCTTCTTTCATCTTGTTATTCTGCACCTCTCACTTTGATTTTCCCTACGCAATTACGGGAGCTTGCTCTCAATGCTTCAACAAATGATGTATAGTTTATATACTTGATTTCATCAAAATTAAATGTCGTCAAATTTAATGAAACTTTTGTGTTTTTATTTTTTTAAGGACAATAATGCATACATGAAATTAATTGAACAAACTTTGTTTTGACATAAACACTTTTTTTGTGAATGTGACAAACACATTTTTTTTTTTTATTGATGGAGGTGATAATAATTGAATTTAAATGGTAACTATATGTTAAAATGAATAACTCGTAAAAAATAAAACTTATTCACAATAGTACTTGTCATAACCTCTAGCAAAATGTATTAATAGAAGGTGTATCTACAAATATTTATGATCATTGTATTGTTTTGGGTGACTTATACAAAGTTTGGGTAGGAAATAAATACTTACAGGAGTTAATAATTTTAACACTCACTTCTATTTATCTCTCAGTTGTGTACAAAAAACAATTATCAATACCCCTGAAGTGAAAACATTGAGTAACGTGCACAAATGACAAGTTTTTTGTTTGTGTAAAAATCAAAATAAAGTCGTAAATCACGTATTGGCTTGAAAAAACGTTTAAGAACCAAGAGAGAGAATCAAGAATAGATTGAACTACTTTTACAAAGTTATATATACACACTTAAGTATGACTCTTTTTGCGTCGTTGTGGTATTTAAAACAAACTACTCACCTCTGCAAATTTGCCATCGGTGAAATACTTGAGCAGCGAACTCTTGCCCACAGTACTGTCGCCAATTAAAATCAGTCGAAACTGATAGTCAAATATCGGCTCAACCATTTTGTTCGACAATATTGAATATGATTAAAAAACTACAAAATACACGCCCGAAGACACGAGGATGAAATAATGGCTCCAACTCCAACTCACTATATATTACAGTACTATATATATAGGTGATATCTCCTCTCGAGAGAGCTATAAAATGCTGTGAGCAACAATAACACGAACGACTTAACCTTTGGAACGTGAAACTGGTGCTAATATTGAAGAAATAATTAACAAAATACAATATAACAGAATGACAGACGGAAACTATATAAACATTACACCGTCGGCAATAGCAGCCGATATTTTAGCATCAGCATAGAACATAGTTTTTGCTGATAACACGCAATATATATATATATTACATATAAGTATATACTGTCAATTAACGAACACACAAAAGCTTTTTTATTTGAGATTTTCTTGGCTTTGTGAGGCTTTAAAATAGTTCAAAAAGGCAGTTTGGGAGACCCAAAATCAGGACCAGAAACTCCGAAAGCTGCGGACAACAACACTCTGTCCCACTTACTTTTGCACTTATAACTTGTCAGATACAACAAACATAACTGCACTGCGATGCTTTTCGAAGGCTTCGCTTACCCTTACACGACCAAAAAAAAAAAAGATGTTTGCGTACTTCTTTTTTCTCCTCGCTACCGCGCCTTCACTGAATACTCTTAGCTCCTAATCTTTTTATCATCGCCTTGATGGTGATTGTTAGAGTTTACGTGGGCGAGTGCATGAGTAATCCACCACTTGACAGCTGGCTTGTATATATTATGCGCACAAACTTGTTTGCTGCTCTAATATACAAATGTACGAGAATAAATTAAATATTAATATTGGGCATGAAGCTGAACGAAGAAGGCCCCGACGAACGATATGACTGTACGGCAGCCAAGCGACAACTAAACTAAAGCTTCTCTCTTCTGTGGTTCTATACACATTTCAAAACGTTGAGTGTTCAACTCTCTTGTTGTTGTTGCTTCTGTCTTTGTTGTCAATGTAGGTGCAACATCTCCGATTCGTTTAGGAAAGCTGAGCAGTGGGAATTTTTTTCTTTAGGCGCTAGATAAATTTTTATTTCATCAAAGTGTAGCATACTTACGTGTAATTTTATTTTTTTGGTGTATAATTTCATGAGAGTGAGCGTATTAAAACCAAAAGTATATAAATATCACATTAGAATTGTATCCTTAACATACGTAGTTTCGTAGTGAAGAAGTAAAGTCATATTATTAAATATAATTTGTAAATTTACAGCATATATATATATA